GGTGTTGTTAAGGCACGAACCCCGACGGTGATACAACCAAGTGCCAGGGCAGAATTGAGGTTTATTTCAAAACACTCAGGTTTAAATACAGCGCTTAAACGTGTCATATGATCTTCCAACCAATGACAATCAAGTATTGTTTGAGCATGCGTCAGAGCCCGGAAAACTACAACTCCTATGATTTCTTGCTACAACCTCCTGCTTCTCCTGTGAGGAGTAAGAATTACCAAAGCTTGAATTCAACAGATCTTTGAACAAACCAGTATAGTAGCTATCCAAAAATTAAATCCCATGGTCAGATGGAGCTATGGAAACGTAACCAGTTCCCAGGTGAAATTCTGCAGCAGCTTCCTTAAGCTTGCACTGCAAGGCACCAAGAATTAGGAGTTTGTCCATTTTTAGGTGTTGGTTATGATTAGCTGTGCTTTTATGCTCTATTCTCTTTGTAACTGTAATTACTTTTTTTTTTTGGAGTGTAGGACAAAAGCGGAAAGGAAACCACGACGACTAAACCAACCTCAAAGGACAAAGGAAAACCCAGAGACCCTAAAACGGTATAAACACACATACTATAGTGTGGACAGTCATGGTTACCAGGCAGTGTAAACATACAAGATGGGCAGCTGGATTTTAGATTCATATCACATGGCTGTTATTCTGAGGAGGATATTACATCAATAGGTCAAAATGGAATAGTTTTTGTAAACATGCTTATAGGAGAAAGGCTCCTGTCTGTTTCAAGGGAATTTGGCAGTAAACAGGCAAAAAAATATATATCTTTCAGAGAATGTGGTCTTCTGCAGTGCATGGTCCACAGGCTTCTCTTTCCCCAATTTGCTGATCTAAGAGTCCCACTTCACATGCCTGTAGCTGCCTCAGGTGGGATCCTCATCACTTCTCTTCCTTGACAGTTTTGAGCAACAGCATTCCAAAAGTGATTAGAAAGTACTCCTGCAACCACACTCAAGTTACTATCATAATTTATTTTTTTAAATTAATGAAGACCTACATACATTCATAAATAAATATGCAGAGTGAATCTGATGGGAAAGGGCAGGCAGCTGTTTCTATATTCAAAGAAAAAAAAGGGGGGAAAAAGGAGAAAAAAGATTAAAAGGGTAGCTTGGCTTCTGTCATCCCAAAGTACAGAAAAAGGATTCAGGTAAGGGTGAAACTTCTCCCATCACGTTGTTCTCTCACAAGGATATGCAGATAGATGCCTGAACCAGATGGTTAGATTTGGTCCGGAAATCTTAAGTTTCGCATGCCAAGTGATGAGATTTCTGATTGTTATTGTGAAATCGCCACAGATGTCTTTTGTGTAACAACAGAACTGACTGACTTAGAATTCTGGTTGTAAAATTGGAGGATGTCTCTAACTCTTCTTCAGGAGGGTGTTCTGAGCTGTGACTAAATTTTCTGTATTTCAGAGATCATATTTATATCTGGACTGTGATTCTGATGAGTGTCTGTCACTGTTTGATTTCAGATCTTTAGCTTAGTTCACAGTTTCTCACTGTCTCATCCTCTCTTTAGGCAAAGGGACAGTCCTCCAGCAGCAAATCTGAGAGGCAGAAAACAAGCTAAACATTAAAACATTATCAGGTGAGATTTCTTCTTCTCTGGGCTACTACAAAGACAACTCATGTGCATGTTATTAAGCCTAGATTTATGTTGTGAGGTTTATTTCCAGGTCACAGAAGATGAGCACTCTAACTTTTCTTTGGCTTTCTTCCCCCCAGGATCCTGGCACATCATGTAAAATGTCTTCTTTCTGTGGGTGGATAGTTACTCCTGAAGAACAAAAGCTGATGCTGAAAACGCATGGTTATTCTGGGTGGTTTTTGTACAGCGATACTTGCTGGACTTCATTTTCATCTTTCCTTTTTCCCCAGTAGTAGGCTTGGGTGGTTTGTTTCTTTCCCTTACCCAGTCAGTTCATTATAGTCTGACTATTTTTTAATTTCCTTTAGTGTTCAGAAGGAAAGAATGCTTCTATTTACAAGAAATATATTCCATCAATGAAGAGCAATGCCAAAAAAAAAAATTTCTGCAGACTTTTGCACATAACCTCCACATAGTGCCTGTAACTCTCTGAAGAGTTTGTATGTGCTAGCATTTTTAACATTGTGGTGAATGCCTTAAGTGTTCTGGAATATAGTGAGCTTTAGTTATCCTCAGCTGGGGCTGGCAGGCTTTGCTCAGGCCGGATCCTGGTAGGAAAACCACAGGTCATCTGTGGTTGGATAAAAGCTGAGAAACTGGGGATTAGCTGCTTCTTCCAGCACATCTGGTAATAAAGCAGGTATTTGGGATGCTGCCTTAACTGTAGTTAAATACACTAGGACAGAATTTTTTATTCCCCCCCCCAATTCCCCCAATTGTATCTGTACTGTTATAATTTCAGGAGTCTCCTGGACTGAACAAACACAAGTCTTAGTGTAAAAGTGACGCTGCTACCATCACAGAAAGGGAAATTGAGAAGGGGCAATGAGTCTTGGCCGAAATCAAAGTTCAGGTCCACAGGCAGACTTTTTTTTTTTTTTTTAAATCTTGTTTTGCACTGTTTCTAGTCTGTTCCTCGCACTCCAGCAGGGAATGCAGAAATAGGGCCGAAGTTAACGCTGCAGGGAACAGTCCCATTTTCCTGCCCTGCGAGAGAACAGGCACAGGCAGGCGCGTCTCACGGGTCTGCTGCAGCCAGGGCTGTCATGACAAGTGTCTCCGTGGCTTTCCCTCTGCCTTCTTCCTCTGCAGAATATCCTTTTGCACATCCTTACACGTGTTACAGCTCCTCCCATCGGCTGCCGGAGGAAGGTCTCCTACCAACACCAAAACTCGGCTCTGGGGTGTGGCCCAGGAGGCAGAGACAGCCCGGAGACTGAAGTTGGGGATATTTAAGACTCGTGACTCTGCTTCCAGTCTGCACCGTGCCACACTAATAAAAGTTTTTAAGGATGCGCTGTGTCGTTCCCGAGCTTTTCATTTATCCCTTGCTTGTGTCTTAACAGCTGTTGTAAGGCAAAAGAAACCCCTAGAAATAATCAAAAAACTCCAAAACATTGACGTATTAAAATTGAAAATTCAAAACACCCTGAGTGTTGAAGAGTTTTGAAGGCCTTCACAAACTCATCAAAATCCTGCTGCATTTTTTGCCCCCTTTCCTTTATATTTCAAAGCTGTATCTGAGTTAACTAGGACTAGATCTAACTTGGGGACTCCCATTGTGCAAGGGAAGCAGCTAAAAGATCAAGACATAAGCCCAGAATTTTCAGAAAAGAAATTACTTCGCTGGAGAAAATTCCAGTTAGAATTTGTGTTGAAATGTGCAGTGTACAAATAATTAACCATCACCCTTGGGGGACACTAGTGGGTTTTAACTTCTTGGGCAGGTGTGATCTCCAGGTGAGAGAAGAGCTAGGCACAGTCAGATACTTAGGATTGATTCCAGATTATGTATTTTTCCCAAAGACTTTACCTTTGTGTAGTGGGTTGGTTTCTTGGATTTTTTAGGCCTTCCTTAGCAACGGGGTCAGAAATCTAAGGAAGTATTCCATATCATTCCTTTCCGTAACACAGCATATAAAAGGCGCAGATAGGAGACCTTCACTCTCTTCGCTCTTCCGGTGGCTGAAGACGACAGGTCCCTCTTGCAGACAGTTTTGCTTGTATAGGCCAAAGCTTGCCTGCTCCGACCTGCCGTTATCTCCGTTCCATTTGGGAGGTGTGGGGAGTTAGTTCTACTGTCCTGTTCAGGGAAGTATTTAATTCGTTTTTGTATTTATTTGCTAGCTCTCTATTGAAGGTGTATATTTAGAAGATATTTGTTTTTAGTTCTTTTATCCCTGTTTCCCCCTCCCTTTTCTGTTTTCCCCCTTGGGAGCTCCCTATTGTGTATAATATATTCAAATTGTATATATATAATTGTAAATATATTTTTTATATAATCCGGTTGATCTGGATTGCTCTCAGTTTCTATAATTTTTTTTTCCTTTCCTCTCTTTGCCCAAAGAGGGAGGGAGGGAGGAGAGGGGCTTTCACTGAGCGTTTGGAGACTTGGCGGGAAGCCAGCTCAAACTTGCTCACTTTGTTAAAAGTTTCCAGCTGCTTCAGCATCTCCGTGGGGAAACTGAGGCAGGTTGGAAATAAAACACCAGGGCCTCGTGTCAAGGGCACAGTAGCAAGAGCAAAGAAATCAAGTACATTTAGGCACATGTGGAAGTTTGATTATTTTCTTCTTTTTTTAAAGTTTAGAACAGAACTGAAAGTTTTCTGCAGGTAAACAGAGAAGACCATTCACAAAAAAAGAAACTCCACGAAAAAAATTCCACCTCCAAGATTTCAGCTTTGCTTTCTTGAGTAACAGTCACTTCCAAGGACAAGATACTAATTTTTCGCAGAGCAATTACCTTCTCATTATTATCCAGCAGGTGCGATAGAAAGACCCTTAGGAACAACTTGAATTACAGTGTTAGGCAACATGTGAGGCCAAGGATGATGCTGCCTCAGGATTGCCTGGGGCCAGCACCAGTACAGGACTCCTGCTTCCCACTTCCCTGCATCATCCCTTCCCTGGAATACTGGAGTCCTGCCGACCCTACCCGATGCATAGCAGAAAGACACAACCCCTGTGAATAACCAGCAACAGCCAAGAAGGATTTGGCAAAAACCAGCTTTGCCATAGAAGCCTCATAGGGCAGAAAACAGATTTTCCGTGGCTGGAAAGCTCTAATGGGGCGTTTTTGGTGTAAGTCCCAGCCCAGAACATCCAGGCTGGGTGGGAAAGTAGAAGAAAAAACCGGAGTGGGCAGGGAAGAGCTGTGCCGGAGCCCCACAGCCGGGAGGGCCGCACCTCCAGCCCGGCAGCGGCTCCTTGAACCCGCGGCCGGGCCCCCGGCGCTGCGGCCCCGCCCCCTCCGGGCCGAGCACGCTCCGTTTCCGTTATGCTCCGCCCTCTCCGCCGCGGTCACGCCCTCAAGCCCCGACGCGGCCTCTCATTGGCTGCGGCGTCCCCGGTGTTGTTATTTCGTTGTTGTTGTTTCGTTGTTTCGTTGTTGTTCCAAACGAGAGCGAAAGGGGTGTGAGCCGAGTGTGAGAGGAGTGTGAGCTGAGCGTGTCACCTGCCACTGACAGCTCTGAGCTGTCCCTGTCACCTGTCACTCTCCGCTGTCCCTGTCCCCTGCCGGCTCTGGACCGGACGCAGCCCCGGCACAGCCCGCGCTCCGCTCCCGGCGAGGTGCTCCCGGAGACCGACGCTCGCTCGCCCGATCCCTCCCCTGCCATGGCGCTATGCGGCGGCCGCGGGCTGCCCGGGCTGGTGGGCACGTCCCCGGGGGTGTCACCGCTCCCCCCGCTGTCGCTGGACGCGGGACACCCGGCGGAGCTGGGCAGGTGAGGGGCTGGGGCGCGCTGGGGGGCTGCGAGGGGCTTTGGCCGCCCGCCCCACGCGGGACTCCCTCGACACGGGAGACATGGGCTGCCCCCAAGTGGGGCTCGGGGATGGAGGGCACCGTGCCGGGGAAGGGACGGGCACCACGGGGCACTGACCCTTCCCCTCCCGACCGTCCGCAGGCTCTGGGACACCTCAAAGCGGCGAGGCGGGGGGCTGCCCCTCCCGCGGCTCTCGCCCACCCTGTCCCCGCAGCCGGCGGCTTCGCCCTGTGCCCGGGACTCCGTCTGCTCCCAGCCCTCGGATGCCGGTGAGTGATGGAGCTGCTGCGCCCCCACAACCGCCCCCTACCACCCCCCGAGCCGGGGGTCGTGCACAGGGTGCTGGGGGGAGTGTTAGAGGGTCCCTGGATATGGAGGTAGGGCTTGGCCGAGTGGCTGCCGAGGGAGGTTGAGGCGGGGGATTCTGGGGGAGGATGGGCAAGAGCCGCCAGCTCTGCTCACTGGGGCTCAGCCACGGAGCACCCCGCTGGGGTCCCTGCTCAGGAGGACACGGGACATTCCATGTGGGACCGGTGCCACCCGCCTTGTGATCCTGGCGGGCAGACTGACGGCCCCCCGTGAGGGCACAGCCGTTGCCCTTGGCCGTGGTCCCTCTCCGGCCCTGGCTGGAACAGAAGGGAGCACAGCTGGGATGTGGGGGGCTCCCTGCCCGGCCGGATCCTGCCAAGGGCCCTGGGGTGGTGGCAGGAGCCCGATCCCCACCCCGGGGCTACCCCTGCCCCTTGTTCCCGCAGGATTGGGGCTGGACTCCCCCACACAGCACGACCCGGCGGCGGCGGAGGAAGCGTGAGTGCCCCATCCCCACGTCCCCCCCGGGGACACCCCCTTGCCTTCCCCTGCCTCCCACGGGCAGCAGTGCCCAGGCTCAGCCTTGCTGGGGACCTGAGCATCCAGCTGTGTTCCCCCAAGCTCCTTCTGGGGGGTGAGAACCTGGACTGCTTGGGCTGGGACGTGGGGTGCCACCCCCCCCTAAGCCCAGCTCTCCTCTGCCCACAGCTTCGAGAAAGCAATCCTGAATTCCAGGAGAGTTCTCCAAGGGTAAGTGAAGGGGCTCTGTCCCTGTACCAGTCCCAAAAGCCAGGCTGTCCCTGTCCCAGACCTAAAACCCAGGCTGTCCCCATTCCCCTCCTGGAGCCCCCGTCAGTCCATCGGTGTTTGCTCAGTGCCTGGGTGTGGTTTTGTCCCAGGGTCCCTTTGGGAAGCTAGGACAGCCCTGGGCAGGTCTCACCCCTCTAGGAGGACCTGGGGGACACAGGGGACCATGGCAGAGGGGTGGCACACTGCTGGTCCAGGACACCTGCTCTCATTGAATCCTTTTCTTTCCCTGCTCTTGCAGCACAAAGCTCCATCTGCGGAGGATCCGCTCCTTGCCAGTAAGTCCTGGAGGCTCTGCAGGGCTGAGCACAGGGAGGCCGGATCCTGCTCTATCCCTGCCCGAGTTGGGAGGAGCAGGATGGAGCCGGGGGTGGGGGGGGTTGTGCAGCACCTCTCAGCCCTCCCCTGTCCCACAGCCATGTCTCCTGGAATCCAGCACGATCCTGAAGGACATCTCCCACTCCGGGGAGTTCAACATCCGCAGAGGCCGAGTGCAGAGGGGCCGGAGGGAGTCTGAGGATGAGGTGAGGGGGGCAGCGAGGCCTGGGGAGTGCAGGGCAGGGACAGAGGGGCGCTAATGTTGTGCCCCCCCACCGCAGGAGGGCTTTGTCCCAAAGAAGCTGCCGACACTGGATCAGCAGAGCTGGCTGGCCACCGGCCATGGGGCTGCCAGGAGGGACTCCCTGGCCACGAGACCCTGCTCCACATCCAGCCTGCTGGTGAGAGGGGCTGGAGGGCTCGGGAGTGACCTGGGGCTGGGGGATCCTGGGGCTGGAGATGGGAGCTGCTGCTCCAACCTCCCCACCTGCCCTGGAGACCTGTGGATGTTGGAGATGAAGGGGTTGAGGGGGTCACGGGGACACCCGGTCTTCAAATTGGGCAGGCATGGGGCTGGCCCCAGTGCTGAGCTCCTCACGGAGTTCCTGTGCCTGTGGAGATGGATGGACCTTGGGCATGGGATCCATCCCTGCCTGGGGCTGGGAAGCAGCCAGAAGGACTTCTTCCCTTCACCATCTCCTCTGCTCTCCCCCGTCCCTCCCTTGGCTGCCGCCCTGGCAGAGTGATGCCACCATGCCCCAGGAGACTGAGAATGTGCTGACCATGAGGATGACAAGGAAGGAGGAGGCAGAGCTGGTAAGTGGGAGCCTTGGGGGTTGAACAGAGCCCCAGGCTGCACCCACAGGGTTCTCCAGGTGGGGCCTCATCCCCTGCCCTCCTGGTGCTGGGGGCTTGCTGGACCCCCAGGCAGCCACACGGGCTCTCTCCACACCGTCCGGGGAAGTGCAGCAAGTGCCGGCAGCTCTTCTGCTCGTCCTCGGAGACCAGCAGGGCCATCAGGCCCATCCTGAAGCGGGGACACCCCTGTGATGGGGACACCCTTGTCAAGGCCAAGCAGCACAGGAGGGTGGCCAGCACCCCCCACGAGGAGGTGTCGCTGGAGCCGGTGGGGAAGCCCTGGGGGGAGATCCAGCCTGTCCCTGTGGATCCAGGACTGTGCCATGCCCCGGCTCTGCTGGAGCCCCTGTTCACATCAGGGGGGCTCTGCTTTGTATCCTTACAGGAAGAGGGGCTGCAGCATTCCCGGTCTGCCCAGTATGAAGAGATCAGGAGCCTGCCAGACAGCAACGATCAGGAGCTCATTGGGGACTTCTCCAAGGTAGGGCCACGAGGATGGGGCAGGTCTGGGGGTGCTGCCCACCTTAATCTGAAACAGGGACCACCATCAGAGCCCTGCATGGGTGCAAGAGCCCAAACTGACCTGGCGGCCCTTGCCTGGGGACATGGGGCCTTGGGGCTGTTACTTCCCAGCCTGCAGCCTGCAGAGTGGATGAAGAGCCCAATCCCTGCTCCTCTGGAGCCACCCCAGTGCCACAGGCACGTCTGCCCTGGGCAGACTGCCCCCCTCCCCTGGGAACAGAGCTGGCAGCTGGGGGGGCTTCTGGGCTGGGGAAACAAGTGGCACCCTCTAGGAAGTGTCCCTGGGATGGATATGACTCCAGAGCCCATGGTCTCCTCCAGGCTCACCTCCTGCCAATGGTGAAGGGGAAGGACCCAAGCCTGAAGTACATCTCCCCTGACACGGTAAGGGGGCAGCAGCCTCTGCCCAGCCCCCCCATGGGGCTGCCTGCCTGCTCCCTCACCACCCCCCAGCTGTTCCCCCTTGGTGACGCACTCCCCCTGCAGTTGGTGGCAGTACTGACTGGGCAGTGGAGCAGCTTCATCAAGAGCAGCATCACCGTGGACTGTCGGTACCCCTATGAGTACGAGGGGGGCCACATCAAGGTCAGAATGGCTCCTGTGCCCCCTGGGGCTGGGAGGAAGGGGGTGTCTGAAACCCACCAAACCTCAGAGGTGCTGAGACCCCCACTTAAGGTCGAGCAGTCCCCCCAGGAGGTAATGAGACTACCCCAACAGGGTTAAAGAGCCCCCCCAGGGGTCACCAGGGTTCCCCAGAGGGGTTGAGTAGGCCCCTCAGCAGTGCCAAGCCCACTTGGAGGGGTTGATCCTCAATTGGAAGGAGGAGGGGGATGGTGCCCAAGTAGGTTGGGGGATGGTGGTGGCAAGGGGAGACTGGGGGCAGCATCCTTATGTCCCTGCAGATGAAATGGGAGGCAGAAGGGGAAAAAGGTGCCTCCTGTCCCTCCCCAGGGTGCTGTCAACCTGCCCCTGCAGCAGGATGTGGAGCAATTCCTGCTGGACCAGCCCATCCTGTCCCTGGACACCAGCAAGAGGGTGATCATCATCTTCCACTGCGAGTTCTCTGCTCACCGCGGGCCCAAAATGTGAGTGGGGCAACGAGGGGGGGAGGGGGAAGGCATTGGCTCTGCCAGCCCCCCAGGCACGCCCAGATCCCATCACGCGATGATCCCCCGGCCTTTCCCTGCGTCCCAGGTGCCGGTTCCTCAGGGAAAAGGATCGTTCTTGTCACGAGTACCCCCAGCTCCACTACCCCGAGCTCTATGTCCTGAAGGGGGGGTACCGGGACTTCTTCCTGCAGTACCCGGTGAGTGCCCCCACTGTGTCCCTGTCAGCAGGGCGAGGCCTGGGGACATGAGAGGGGAACGCCCTGGAACCCCGTGTGCCCTGCCCAGCCCAGCGGGGAGGGGGAGCTCTGGCTCTGAGCATCCTCCGTGAGGGCAGGATCTCCAGGGCCGGGGGACCGCGGGCGCTGGGTTTGCCCCGGGCTGGGTGGGGGCCGGAGGCTGCGCTGCGGTCGGTGACAGGGCCGTGGCTTCCCAGACACACTGCGAACCCCAGGACTATCGGCCCATGGAGCACGGGGCCTTCCAGGAGGAGCTGCGCCAGTTCCGCTCCCAGAGCAGGCTCCGGGCGGGAGAGCGCAGCCGGCGGGAGTTCTGCAGCCGCCTCCTGCCCCGCTGAGCGCTCGGGGACCCGCAGCCCCTCCGTGGGCAATGGGAGAGCTGGAGGCTGCGAGGGCTTCCCTTGGCCGGGCAATGTGCTTTGGGTTGGTCTGATTTCTTAGGATTGGTTTAATGTAGAGGCTATTGTTAGGAGTGGTTTAATGTCTTAGTTATTATTAGGATTGGTTTAATTGGTTATTGTTAGGAGTGGTTTAATGTCTTAGTAATTGTTCGGATTGGGGGTTTGTGCCTTCTTTATTGTTAGGATTGGTTTATTGTATTGCTTATTGTTAGAATTTTGTTTGTGTCTTGTTTATTGTTAAGATTGTTTTTTCATAATCTCTGATATCAAACTCCTAAGGTGGAAGGAAAGAAGGAAAAAACACAAGATACTCAATTAGCTACATAGAATATTCCTGAACTACTTTATTTTGTACAAAATCAATGCACAAAGACCTTCATAGTAGCAAATTACTTCCTTTATTGTAAATGTGGCAACGACTTTAACCACAATCCAGTAAAGGTGTTCCATGGCTCTCCATGTCCTTCAGAGATAAAAAGTCACCCCCAAGGAAATGGGTGGTACTGACAAGCAGCACAACTGGTTTCCAATATGGTTGCTTTTTTCTTACTGTGAAATTTGCTGGCACAAAATTCTTCATACTATGATTTCAGCCAAAACATAAGAGAAAATGTCACTGTCAGAATGGATAAACATCATAATAATAGAGATTTATTTTTATTTTGTTTCTCTTTGAAAAGACTTTTGCTATTGCTTCTAGCAGGACAGCTATAGCAAGCTATAGAAACTTTGCTCTTACTGCATATACACCAGATACAGAGTGTATGAGAAGTTTCTTTTTCAAAAAAATTGATTACATTTTCAGCTGAAGAAAATGCATTTCTTCCCCTCAACAGCAGAGGAATGAAGATTTTATGGTTAGATCTTGCTGGATCAGCTAGATCTCACTCCTTTACTAATATGGTTCCAGGCTGCAATCTTATTATTATAGTTTTGTTTTTTTTTAGGGGAGCATTTATTAATGCAGCTTCCCTGAAAAACGAACAAAGAAATGATCAAAAGAAACCTCTCAAACAAGAAACAAACCTTAAGCATCTAGCAACTAGATTCCTTTATATTAATAACAACAACAACATAGATTCAAATAAAACTCAACTACTTTTAGATTTAATTTCACAGACAGGAACTACAAAATGATCAGGCATCAAGAAATTTTCATATGCACAGGGAATAATACAGAAGCCATATTTCTTGATTTATATATCATGGTATATGTTTATATACCATGAAGAAACAAATGATTCTGCTTTCTGGATTAGAGCCTTGAATGGTTTAAATAATGGAGAGTGTAGCCATTGCTCTTTCTTGTGCCAGCCAGCTGCACTAAGTCCAGAAAAGGTTCTCCTTCACAAAAAGCAGTGTACGCATCTTTCCAGCCTGGAAAGTGCTTTCCCCAGAGCCAAGCAGTGGATTGTTAAACTTTTGATGCTACAATAACTCTGTCAAAGCCTTCAGGCTGATGTCGATGATAAGATTTACAGTAGCCTTAATATTTATTGAAAGAAACTAATTGTAATTATAAACACCTAAGAAAATAATTTAATTTTTCTGTATGGGTTTTTTTTTGTTATTATTATATTTATGACTTTAAAAAAATAAGAGAGACAGCACTGCCCTGGGGTTGCGTCATAGCTGGAGGCTGACATGTTCCACAGGAGAGATAAATCCACCTCTGATACCATAATGTGGAGCCTTTTCCTCTTCCTCCCACCTTGCATGGCCTTGCACCTCATCTGTCAGCTTTCTGATTATACCATGGAATGGAACTAGGGCTCAGGTTTGGAATTTATTTCCAGGATTCAGCCTATGGGTTTTGATTACTTTCATATGCAAGCATCCATTTTTAACTGCTGAGCAGCGTCCTAAAATGGATGTTCATAATAAAATTGAAAATCTTCAGCTTGTATAACTTAATTACAATGCATTAGTATGATGTAGAGGTACATTTCAGAGGTGATAATGGTTGTTTTCCATTAATGTGTCCTAATCATCAGCAAAACCTTGCTCACACTGATCTTTAACCCTTTTAGAAGCAGTTGATGGTAATGTACAAGGCCAGGGGCACTTACAAGAAAACCTGCTGTTTGTTCACAATCTGAAAGCACTGCTTAAATATTAAGGGTTATTATACAATACAATTATATACAATATCTGATGATCTGTTAAAATATGGATTAAAAAGAAGATAATATCAAAGAGAATTAACTTTCAATGAAGTCAGTGTTGCCACACCAGTTTGGCTGTCAAACAGTACATTTCCACTCTTCTAATTATGAAGGATTAGTTATTTAGTTGTCCATTTTTAGTATGGGTCTATATTCTTTGAGTCTACAGCAAAGTAACAACACACCAAGCCTGACTCTTTCTCCAGGAGTCTTTACAGCCTATACTAAAGCCTCATTAAGCTTTTGTCCTCCTCGGAGTGTCCAGCTGCATATTCTGCTGTAGTAAAAGGGTGATAATATCACTGAATACTTTGTATTACAGAAAAATATGTAACATCACAAGAAATGGTTAATAAAACTTAATTCAGCATTATGAAACTTAAAATTACAAATGTTTCTTCATTCTCAAGATGCACAGTAGAATTTCCCTGCCCTAGATATTCATAGACTTTGAACCTTTAACCACTGCAATTTATACTTGGCCATTTGCATTTCACTCCAGGGGCACATTTGTGCTGTGAGCAGCACAGTGCAGAGACAGTGATTTTTTGCTTAGGTGACTTTGAGCACCCAGTGCAGAAGTGAATCCTGCAAACACAAATTCATGACATGAAAGTGTGCAGTGATGGAACCAAACAGCACCTCATCCTTGGACAGATATATCTAGTTCCAATTCCAGGCTGGAACCACTAAAAAGCTATTATGGCTAAAAACATAATGTCAGGCCACAAAATCAACTTAGCCCCACCCTCCCAAGTGTTTGAAGTATTCATTACAGAGGTTAAAAGGATGAATTTCTAATGGTGGTAATACTCACTTTCTATTTTGAAGTAATTTTCTTTTCCTTATCGTCTCCCCCCTGCAAGTGTGACACACACTGTTTCTGACTCCATTAACCCTTTTAAAACCTCTAATAAAAGTCACGAGGTCATTCTTTTTAACTTTTTGTCTATTGTGTCTCTCTATTTGTACCTCTTAACATTTTTTAAAGCCATCGCTGAGCTATGAAGCCAATTGTCTGATCATTTTTCATTCAGCTGGCTGGCAAAATTATTTTTGCATATTAGCTACCAAAACAGAAGTATTCTTTCCCAGCTCTCTGCTGTGTGAATTTACACAGACAGTCTTTACAGCATTGCTTTGGGAATTCTCTTACTCCAACATGCAAATGCACCAAGCCTGGCACAGGGGCCTTATTTCTGCCAGTTCAGCATATGCAGAACTGTACATCCACTTGTCCAAAGCCTTCTGGAGGCAGAAAGGGTGTGTGAGTGTCAGTAAGTGGGTCTGTGTCAAGTCTCCTGTTGGCTTGAGGTCCCAAGTGGAGGTAACACCACAGAATCATTGAGGTTGGCCAAGACCCTTAAGAGTTTTGAGTCCAACTGCACTTCCAGAGGCACACGAGTCATCGCACCACGTTAGGGCCTGGCCCAGGCTTTCAAGTCCTGTTCAGCCCCGCTTAGGGCCTGTGGGAGCAAGGGAGAATCTCTGGAACTGACCAGCACAGCTACAGCCCCTGCACCTGAACCACTGTGCCATTATCAGTTGCCCCTGTACACAAAAAGAAATGGACATGAAAGTCATCTTATTTAGTAAAGGAGGACAAGGCAGTCTAAGCAAGGCTATCACAGGAGCAGGAGGAAGAGGCAGAACAAGAGATATCCAGTTGATCCCTACCCTTGAGTGAGCTGCAGGAGAGATGGAAAGATTTCAGCCACCATCCAGGTAAGCACATTGTCACCTGGCTGCTCTGATGGTGGGATAATGTGACTAGTGGTTTGGAATCAGAGGATAATGAAGCCAAGCAGCTGGGGTCACTTTCTAGGGAAGCAGGCATCAACAAAGCAATTGGAAGAGAATGACTTGTGACATTGACTTGACTAATGACATCCTTGTGCTCTTTGCAGAGGAGGAGGTGAGAGTGCTGAAGACCCACCCGATATAATAAATAATCTGAAAGTGAGAAACATTATGCCTTGCTTAATGATGCATCCTTGTACTGTAGGAAAGCAGGAGAGAGTGAAAGTAGCTGTACAAGCTGTGGAAAATGCTTTTACTATTATCGTTGTGTTTATTGCAATTTTGTCAGCAAATTGTGACCCCATCTTATAATCTCTCCCAGTATTTTTTTCTCCAGTATTGAAATGGGGCAGTTTGAGTGGGCTTGGTTTTCCCACTGAGTTTTAAAACCAGCACAAGGGGTAAATGCATCTGGGCTAGCACATTGTGGCAAGATATTGTTGCCTGGGTGGAGAACCTGTTTGTAAAGGTGAATCATGTTCATGTACACAAGAGCTGAGTCAATGAAGAATACCCGATTAATCAACAGGTGTCTCCAGCTGCTAACAGTGAAGTGGATTTGGATTGGCAACATAAGGATGAGTAATTTCTGTCTCAGTGGGCCTGTGACAGCTTGGGCCATCAAGGAGGAGATGCAGTATATCAATGGGCTCCTGATCGAGGGGTGGACTTAACCATGGACACTATCACACAGGTGTCTCGGGTTTACTAGCCCTCCCCTGGAACTGAAGATACTTAGTTCCAGGTGGATTTCCTCATGCTGAGCCAATGAGAAGCTGTAGTAACGCCTCTGCAAATTACATATTTAAGTAGCCGGAAGAGAAGGCTTGTGGTGCAGAAGAAATTAGAGCCACTAAGCTGGCAGAGAGGCCGGCCCTGGCCCAGGAGCAGGTGTGCCACAGAGGCCGAGCTGGGCCCCTGGCTCAGACGTGCAGCAGAGCTGAGAAGAAATTCCAGAGAGCGAGACAGAAACTGCCCAGGAGTTTTCCAGCCAGCCTCGCCGCTTCCCCCCACCGCGGGGAGAGGTGGTGGCAGCCTGGCCAGGCTCTGCGGTGCCTGGTGCAGCAGCAACGCACGACCCGACTCAGAGCAGCCCAGAGCAGGCCCAGAGCGGCAGTAGTGCATGGCACGGAGCATGTCCGGAGTGGAGCAGAGCGGAACGAAGAAGAGAAGCACAGCTACCACCACCGCTTGGATTTGCAAGAGAGAGAGAGAGAGAGAGAAGCCATGCTGAGCAGGTTTATTCTGGGTGGAACTCTGGTGAAAATTATCAGGGTATAAAGAGACTGAGATGAACACCTGAGGAAGGCACTCGCTGAGAAAAACAACTGTTGCAAAGATGGCAACAGGAGCTGAGGCAGGTGCAGGAAGAAGCAGAAATGGCCAAGCACCTACTTGGGATTGATACTATGCGACACTGTTACCAACGACTAATACAGAAAAGGTCTGTTTTATTGTTACCAGGTTTTACCAAAGAACTTGTTCGGACAGTTTTATTCCAAGTTTTTCCAATTTCAATGTATTTTCCCCTCACAAATATCTCCATTTTTCCTACTGGTTCCCATCTGCAGCATTGCAGATACTCTCCCCATTGGCTCCCATTGATTCCATATTCCCTCCTTCCTTCCCTGATTGGCTGTTTCCCCTGCCAGTCCCATGCTCCTCCCTCCTTTCCAGCACTTTCCATCCTGACCCTATATAAGTCCAACCCCTGCCTCAATAAAGTGTGATAGCATTGTGATTGCTCCACCACGTGACAGTGTGTGTCCATCCTTTACTTCGCCTGAACCTACTGGCTGTCGCAATCCCCTTCCTACCCCAGACTGCGGCAAACCCCAGAACCTGCGACCCAGGGGAGGGGTAGACCTGACATGGAGGGGGCCTCCGAGAGCTTATTCCCCTGGGAGGGACCCCATGGAACAGGGAGAAGACTCAGAGCTTTAGCTCCCTGTAACGCGTGGTGAAGATCATGGTGTAGTGAGTTGTCCCCTTGCAGCCCATGAAAGGACCTCGGGGGGTGCAGAGACCCCTTACACCCCTATTGGAAGAGAGACTTTAACTATTGCCCTGAGAGTTTCTCTTCCGGCATTGGCCAGGGGGCCAAGGGGTGGTAAAAGTGTGTTTAATACAGTATATTTCATTACTTTTTAGTTTCTATTCTGTTAGCAATAAATTTTAATATTATTCCTCACATTGAGTCTGTTTTGGCTGTTGTGGACCTCTCCTAACCTTTTAGCAATTTTGTGGGGGTTTGAAAAATTGGGCTAGAGTAAACCCATGACAGCAGGTTATCCATGAATGTGAAACATGCACTGCAGATAGGCAAGTCAAGTGTTTAAAGACTCTCTGCTATGGAGAACTATGGCTGAAATATAAATATGGGGCGCCCTGGCAGATTGACTATCTCACACTCCCACAAACCCACCAAAGCAAGTGCCGTATGCTTGAAATAGCAGAAGCAGTCACTGGATGGTTGGAAACACAGTGTCCTGGGCCTTGAAACATGATATTCTGAAAGAATTGAGTCAGATAACAGGACTCATTTCCAAAACAATCTTACAGATGCTTGGGCCAAAGAAAGTGGCTGGAGTGGGTATTGATGCCAAGAAAAAGTGGTGGTGGTAAAACTCAATAGCCACAGGTACTATTAGGACGGTATTTGTTTATTTCAGTGCCAGATTTGTGGGGGATTGACGCCGCCCTTGTTGCCCACACAGAAGCAGCCCTGCAGCGTTTAACATCCTGCTTTGCAGAGGCTGCTGAGCTCTTTGGACTGGAAGTCAGCTTAAAGAAGACAGAGGTCCTCCATCATCCTCACATCACCATTGGCCAATCAGAGCTCAGATCAGTCCAGCAGTTTAATTACCTCGGTAGCCTCATCTCCTCAGATGGCAAGATCGATGGAGAGATAGACAACAGGTTACCAAAGGCATATAGTGCTTTTGGAAAACTCCACAAAAGAGTGTGGCGTAACAAACACTTGAAGAAAAGCACCAAGATCAGTGTTTACAAAGCCATAGTGCTGTCTACTCTCTTATATGGCTCCAAATCATGGGTCATCTACCGCCACCACCTGCGGCTCCTAGAACGCTTCCATCAACGCTGCCTCCATACAATCCTAAACATCCACTGGTCAGATTATGTGACCAACACATCTGTTCTAGAACAAGCAGCTATCACAAGTATTGAGGCCATGTTGATGAGAACACAGCTGTGATGGGCAGGGCATGTCTCCAGGATGAAGGACCACCGCCTCCCTAAGATCTTGCTTTATGGTGAACTTGCCACTGGCTGCCGCATGAGAGGAGCCCCGAAGAAAAGATACAAGGACTCCCTGAAACAACATCTCAGCCTTGGCCATATTGATCAACATAACTGGTCTACTCTGGCCTCAAATCGGGAGGCCTGGAGACACACTATCTATAACGCAGCTGTCTCCTTTGAGAACACACGCAGGATCACTCTCGAGGAAAAAAGGCAGTGCAGAAAGAACCGTATATTGCTGAATACACCATCTAAGGAGTCTTTCTGCTGTGCCTTTTGCAATCGGATATGTCTGTCACGTATTGGCCTCATAAGCCACCAGCGTGCCTGTAGCAAATGTGGATAGAGCCTTCCCAAATCTTTGTTCGCGAAGCCCAGCCATGATGACCTTGTGGGGGATAGCTCTGCCTAACACACACTTGCTCCCCCTTCCCAACTTCTGCTTTATACAGTTAGTTCATACGTATTCATTCCATATTTTTACATATTCATGACCTTTCCAAAAGTGGGTGATGTTTTATTTAAATCTTGGGACACGCCTTCTGGCATCTATGCACTTGTCTCTGGTGGTCATCTCCAGTGGTCATGGGGATGAAGGCTCGAACTCTTCCTCTCTCTGAACTTTTCACCCTGTTCTCGGAGCACACACAGTCCCTCAGTACCGTCTCACAGCGACAGCTCCTCATTGGCCGCTTATTTGCTGCATTTTGCTACATTACACACCCTCTCATTGGCTGCCCCTTCACGCAGCTTTCCCGTTGGCTGCTTATTGGCAGCTCCTTATTGGCTGCTTATTGGCAGCTCCTTATTGGCTGCTTACCAGCAACACGGCTGCTTTCTTAGCAACAGCACACGAACCGCAAAACTATACTATTTA